TACCCCATGGGGACCCCTGGACAAAGGACAGGATGGCAGTAAAAAAAGGGAGTCAGGCAGCCATTCATCTACCAACCCATCCATCTGAATATCCACCCACCCATATATACACAAAGGTGTGAAATCATCCATTACAATACTGAGGAACACTACTGCAAATCCAGATGCACTCATCCATAATGGCTGTACACTGCCTTCTGGCTTTAACAAGTGGGAACATGTCAGAATGTTAGAAGTCCAGTCCCAGTGCTGGGGGAGCCCCAGTGCCCCAAGAAGATTCAAAACACTCCGGTGGGTCTGCACCCACTCCCTAGGGTAGGAGCTATCTCATCCCTGGCTCGCATACCTTCCTCCCCCCCGACAGAGGGCGCATCGCCCTCCAGGGTCACACCTTGTATATTTAAGGAGCTTTACCAGACAGTTATCCATGGAGGACTGAAGTCAGCTCTTGGGGGGCCCTTTACATCCCAGCCCCTGTAATCAGAGGCCATCCTGGATAGACACTGTGGTCAGCACTCCACTGAGGACCTCCAAGCCTGAAGCAGTCAATTCCCTCCTCCCCAGGGCCTCCTCTACCCCCGCCCCAGCATGTGTGATCTAGAAGGGTCTACTGTCCACTGAAGTAGAAGAGGAGCATCATCCCATCATGAGCACTGCCTGGAGCAGTCCCTACTCCAGCTGCTGTGCCCAGGGAGGGTGGGGATGTGTGTCTGTGTCCCCACGTGCAAACCTAAGGCACCCACCCTGCTCACTCTGCCCTGAGGCAACACAGGAGAAGGCACACAAGGGTGCGGGTGTAGCCAGTGTAAAGGAGAGCATCAGTCACCTGAGGGGACAGGGAAGCTTTCACAAGAATGGCCCAGGAGTAGGTTTACTGGGAGAGGGCTGACCTGCTCAAGGACACACGGGCCAGGTGATCCAGGGCCCAAACTCAGTGGACTAAATCCGTCCTTTCCATCCCCTTGGACAGAACCTCTTTGACAGCATCAAGAGTGAACCCTTCTCCATCCCCGAGGATGATGGCGGTGACCTCACCCACACCTTCTTCAACCCTGACCGTGAAGGTTGGCTACTCAAGCTAGGTAAGACCTCTGTGCACGCACTCTGATAAGCTCACTTGCACACGTGTGGCTGACACACATGCATATATCTCAGGAGTGGACCTGCACAGTGCTTGGTCACCTGGCCCCCAGCCCAGCGTCTACTTACCCTTTCTGTCCTTCCTCTCATTTACCCTCCGAGCCATCCATCTACCCACCCATTACCCTACCCGTTCATCCATCTGCCTACCATCCATCCACCTGGCCACTCATCTGTCCACCCACCCATCTCGTCATGTATCCACCTATCCACTTAAACATCCACCCATTCATCCATCCACCCACCCACCCCTCCCTCCACTCATTTATCCACCCACCCATCTATCTATCCACATACTCCTTTATCCACCCATCCATCCTTCCACCTACCCATCATCCATTCATTCATCTACCCATCCATCAACCCATCCACCCATCCATATATCCACCCACTCATGTATACATAAAAACACCTACCCTTCTATCCACCCATCCATCTATCCACCCACTAATGTATACATAAAAGCACCTACCCTCCAACCCATCCATCTGTACATCCACCCATCCATATATCCACCCACCCAAGTGTACATAAAAAACGCTTACCCTCCAACCCATCCATCTGTACATCCACCCATCCATCTATCCACCCACTAAAGTATACATAAAAGCACCTACCCTTTAACCCATCCATCTGTACACCCACCCATCCATCTATCCACCCACTAATGTATACATAAAAGCACCTACCCTTCAACCCATCATCTGTCTTGGGGTGCAGGTGGCAGGGGGAGGCTAGATGTAAGGGAACAGTAGGGGGACAGAGGCTCCATGGACAGTCCTGTTTCTCTCCCAGAGGACAGAGAGAAGAGTCTAGCAGGGTCCCTCTGTTCAGGACTATTGAACATGAGGTGCTGGTCCTTGAACAGCCCAATTCTGGGGTAGTTTATTCTCTGGAAGCCAAGACATGGCGGGGTTAGAGCATCTTCTCAAGGTCACACAGCCAGCAAGTGTCACACTTAGGGCAGCAGAGGGCTGGATGTCCCTGAAGCAGGAGGAGGGAGAGAGGGATTGTAGCTCAGGCAAAGAGCCATGGTGAGTGCTCCCCGTGGCTAAGGGCGGCAGCCAGCCCTGCCTCCTCCAGGAGCAATTCCAGGAGCCACCCTAGCAGAACCAGCCAGCCAGGGCCTGTGGTCTTCTGAGGTAGGTGAAGAAAAAATGCCTCATCTTGGAGGAAGGGACTCAGCTGGGCAGCCTCCATCACTTACCTAGACTATGACAGACTCACCCAAATCCCAGATGTCCAGCAAGCCTTCTTCTGTCTGTCCCCACACCCCAGCCTCTCCTCCTACAGGCCGCTGGGCCTCCTGTACTGCCCCGGATGCCAGCTCTCAGCCCCCAGAGTATCTCCAAGTCACAAAACCAGCCAGCAGAGGGGCAGCAGAGCCCCATGGCGGAGCAGCAGAGCCCCATGGCGGAGCTCACAACCCCACTCGTCAGCATCAGTTTCTGCAGTTGGACTGTGGCGACCATGACCCAGAGAGCACTAGCCACATAGCAATGTGGCTGAAAGCTTGGGCTCCAGGGCAGCAACGTTGAAGTTTGAATGCACAGGACCATGGACACGTGGTCTAGCTTTTCCCAGCCTTGGCTTCCTCATCTATAAGAATGGGGTCGCCAGTGGCCCTCCTCCTCCTGGGTGGCCACAAGGATTCACTTCCTCATTTTTTTTTCCATGCATGATAAAGCTGGAGTGCTGTGTTAGCTATGGTTCCCAATGCTGCAGCAAAATGCCTAACAAACACGCTTGAGGAAGGAAAGTGTGTTTGGCTCTGGGGGAAGAGCTCCTTGTGGCAGGAGCGTGAGGTGGCCGGTCACATCGGGTCCACAGTCAGGAAGCAGAGAGCCGTGAAGGCTGCTGTTGCTCAGCTCACTCTCTCCCTTTTCATTCTGGGACTCCAGCCCCTGGGACAGGGCTGCCCACATTTCAAGTGCAGCTTCCCACCTCAGCTGACTCAGTCTGGAAACTTCCTCACGGACATGCCCCGAGGCTCGTTTCCAGACGACTCTAGATTCCCTCACCTTGACAGTCAATGCTAACCACCATAAACACTTAGAGCAAGCCTCGGTCTGAGTGGGCTCTGGTGGCCACTGTCCCCTCGACCTAACTCTGGGAACCCAAATGCAAGGCAATGGGGTGATAGGAGCTGCTACGCTTGGAGTCTAGAAAGGATGGATCTGGAGGCCTGGGGAACAGGGGATGCACACAAGGCTCCACAGCTCGCCTATGGGGGAACATGGGGGAGGAGGAAGGCTGACCTACCACACTCTGCCGGCTTCTTTCAGGGGGGCGTGTGAAGACGTGGAAGCGGCGCTGGTTCATCCTCACAGACAACTGTCTCTACTACTTTGAGTTCACCACTGTGAGTGTGTCCGGGGTGGGACTAGAATACAGCCAGCCACGACAGACAGGTCCCTCCAGCCGCTGCCACCACCAGAGAGTGCCGGGCCCTTTCAAAGTGCTCAGCCCCCCTCTACTCCCATTTCACAGAATTAAGGGGCAAAGAGGAGGAGGGGCTGGGCAAGAGGGAGCACTGACTTTAAGTTGTGGGGCTGTAGATCCATGTTAGAGCGTGGCCCTTACATGTGTGAGGCCCTGGTCAATTCCCAGCACTGAAAAAAAAAAATTGTTCAACGATGGATGGATCACCTAAAGGCTAGGCATGGGGGTTCATACACATAATCCTAGTGCTTAGAAGACAGAGGCAAGAGGGTCCTAACATGTTCAAAGCCAACCTGAGCTATACAACAAGATCCTTCCTCAGAAAATAAATAAACAGACAGACAAACAGATGATAGATAGATAGATAGATAGATAGATAGATAGATAGATAGATAGATAGATAGATAGATAGATAGATAGATAGATAGACAGATAGGCTGGAGAGATGGCCCAGCTGTTAAGAGCACTGACTCTTCTTCCAGAGGACCTGGGTTCAGTTCTCAGCACCCACATGGCAGCTCACAACTGCCTGCAATTCCAGTCCCGGGGGTAATCTGACGTCCTTTTCTGGCTGTTGTGAGCACTGCACACATGTGATGCATACACCCATACACATACAATGTGATGCATACACCCATGTGTATGTGATACACCCATGTGATGCATACACCCATACACATACAATAAAAATGGGGGAAAAAACAGTTTAATCCGGTCTCCCAGATCCCAAACAGGGTCTAGTGCTATGTCTGCCTATGACTGGGAGGTCTGGGGAGGTGATTTGGGGAGGCCCTGAGCCCCCATTTCCTGTCCTTGACCTCACTTCATCAGGACAAGGAGCCTCGGGGGATCATTCCTCTGGAGAACCTCTCAGTGCAGAAGGTGGATGACCCCAAAAAGCCGGTGAGAGTCAAGCTGGGGGGGGTGGTTCCCAGCACAGCTGGGCCATTCTGTAGGGTCTCTCCTAGAGCTCTGGACCCAGGCTGCTCAGCGTCATTGAAAAGGGCAAGCCTCAGTTGTCTTGTGGAGCTTGGCTCTGGCACAAACCGGGGGACTTCTACGTCACAGCTCTTTTCTGAGCCTTGGTTCCCCCACCTGCTACATGGGATTTTAGGGAGCCTGGTACACAGCAGGTGTCTGGTGTCCTCTCCCCCGGAGCTGTGGGGGGAAGGGCATTCTGTGGGAGGGCTGCTCTTGCCTCTGTGTCCCCCCACACTGTGGGGAGGAGGGGGTGGCCTAGCCTGTCCCTCAACCTGGCCCCTCCCACAGTTCTGCCTGGAGCTGTACAACCCCGGCTGCCGGGGCCAGAAGATCAAGGCGTGCAAGACTGACGGGGACGGCAAGGTGGTGGAGGGGAAGCATGAGTCCTACCGTATCTCAGCCGCCAATGCCGAGGAGCGCGATCAGTGGATTGAGGCCATCAGGTGAGAGCGGCCGGGACACTGGACACCTCCTGTCACCTTCCTGCTTCTTTGGGGTCTTCTTTCCTTGTCTGTAAAGACTCGAACTCCAGGTCTCCCTCCTATTGGTGGTCTTTGGTGGGCAGGTTCTTGAGCCAGGCGTCTAGTTAATACAGAAGGAAGAAACCAACTTCACGGGCTGGGTGGGAGGGCCCAGGAACTCGCAAGGAGCTCAGCCGGAGGGGAGACATAGGCAAGTGGAAGACCTGTCAGCTAGAAGGCATGTGTGGCCACTGGACAAGGACCATGTCCTAGAAACTTGAAGAATTAGAGAGGCCCAAAGATGGCAGAGCCTTGGCCAGAGCCCCACAGCAGTGAGGGGCCCAGCTGGCTCTGCCACCATCTCTCTTGCTTCCCCTGCTTCTCTAAAGGGGCTGGAAAAGGAATCTGGAGCAGGGGTGGTCTCTGCTGGGCTCCCACCTCCTAATCTGAGGTCTTGTCCTTGCTGGGCCTGCCTATGAGACGAGGCTCACAGAGCAGGATTTCCCTATATCAGTCCCTGGCCTTTTCTGTGCAGCGGGGTGAGCCAACACCTCCCTGGGAGTCACACCCCCCAAATCACAAGTCCAGAAGTCCTACGTTCCAGCAAGCCCTGAAGTCTCATTCCCCGCCCCCTCCCCCCGTATCCCCAGGGCCAGCATCACGCGTGTCCCCTTCTATGACCTGCTGTCTGCTCGGAAAAAGAAGATTGCCAGCAAGCAGTGAGCTTCCGGGAGGCGGCTCTGGCAACCCCGTAGGACCTGTGGTAGCTGGACAGACACTTCTCACCCACGGCACCCGTTCCTGCTCACAACCCCACCCCTCCCCATCACTGGAACTGGCTACGGGCGATGTGGAACCTTGGAGGGCACAGAGCTCACAGGGAAACCCCTGATACCTGCACCGCTTGACAAAAAGAACCTGTGGGGCTCCACCCTGGACCGCTGCAGCCGAGGGTGAGGACGGGAAGACGAGACAGCCCAGAGCCCACTACCAGTGTGTCCCACCCTCTCCTTCCCCAGCAGGAGGACCGTGGATTCCCTGGAAGCTTCCAGTTCAGAGGCACCCCGGCCCTCAGATTGGGCCAGACCCTCCCTGGCAGCACCAGGTACCAGCATACACCCAGCTCCGAGCCTGAAGCTTCGAACACGGCCCTCTGCTGAATCACAACCCTTCTCTGGGTCTTACAAAATGCCGTGTTTGGACAGGAAACATCTTGGCCCCCGCTGCCTTTGGTCAGCTTGGCTTCCGGTGGGGAGCTGGGACACCAGGTGACTGAACCAGACAGACTGTGCTGGGAGGTTCTGAGGGCATTGCTGGCACCATTCTGAAGGGCGTTGACATGTGAAGAGGGGCAGGGGGGACCCTCGAGGCAGTGGCAGCATCTGCGGCTGGCAGATCTGAGCTACAGCTGAGAGAAACGCTCCGGGAACTGCCCACCAGGAGGGCTGCCTGGAGGCCACAGTGAGCCAGCTGGTAGCATAGGAATCATGCTTGGACAAACTCTTGTAAGCCATGGCACCACTACTAGACGCCCGGCCGCAAAGCTAGAGTAGCGAGGGGCTACAGAATGGTTCCTTGTTCCTGCCTCCTGCCAGAACAATGCCAGCTTTCCATACACGGCACGCCCCTGTGTCCCCAGGGAGGCCTCACCTGGAGGCTTCACCCCTAGAGAGCGCTTGTACCTTCTCTCCTGCCTGAGGAGCCTCCCCCCACCCTACCCCCGAAAACTCCTCAGCAAGGCTGCAAGAAATGGGGCTCCCTGTGTCCTGGGCCAGCCTGGGCCCTAAGCAGAAGCAGCAGGTGGCCAGGCTGCCTCATCATCCTCCGCAGGAGTCCACATGTGCACACTTCCTCGACGTCAGGAAGAGAAGTGTGGCAGAAAGGGTGAGACTCCTGTCTCTGGACGGATGTAAAATTGGGAGCCAGGGCACCGACAGACAGAGCCCTTGCTGGACAGTTGGGGACTTAAGCTGAGTCCACCTCAGCTGCCCCCATTTAGGAGTTAAATGACCCTTAAATGTTCCTCTGCCTCCAGCATGTGTGTGTGTGCACAGAGGCTGTGGGACCTTTGCCGCCCCCTCCTCTTCTTCCCCAGCACCAAGGTGCGTGCGCGGGGGGGGGGGGGGGCGGGGAGAGGCGGGGATCAGTTTATTTCCTGTTCTGACACTTTGAAGCAATAATATAGCTCATGATCCAACTTGTGGCCAGAAAGCTGTCCTTCTGTGACTGTATCTACCATCCCTAACCCCTCCCTGGCCCTCTCCCCTCATCCAGGAAGAGTGAGCACTCAGTGGTCCCTAGAACCTTATCTTCAGGACACTGGGGGAGGTACCATGCTGAACAGAAGTTCCCCCCCAGGAGCTGGGCTTTCTCTGGGCTTCTTTGGGGGCAGGGGTAGGGGCTAGGCTGAGTTGATTCTGCTACACCCAGGGGAAGACAGAATTTTCCAGAAGCCAGCTCTATCTACAGATAGAGTGGCTGACATGGAAGAGAGGTAGTGATCCCACTGCCTCTGGAGGGATGCAAGCACAGACTGGCTCAGGGACCAGTGTGGAGCAGGATGGTGTAACCTTTGCTGACGGCCCTCCTACAGATGTTTATAAAGTGTCCCTGCTGAACCAGGCCCTGTTTCAGGCACTGGCAGGCCAAGCCAGAATCCCTGCCACCTGGGCTCATGGTTCAGTGCTCCTGAGTCCTAAGGCCACTTCCTGCCTCCGTTACCCAGCCCCTGCCTAAAATCCCACCTTTACAGCCTTCCTTGAGGATCCTTGTGGCTGAACCAGCTCAGCTTACCTATACTTTCCTTCTTTTGATCCATGTACTAAGTGCTTACTGTGTACCAAGGTCTCTGTAACAGAGCCAGGGGGCCAAGGAGCCCTGTGACCACGGTCACAGCCTTGACCTCAAAACAAGTTCAAGTCTGGAGGCTGGAGAGATGGCTCAGCAATTAAGAGCACTTGCTGCCCTTCCCGGAGGACCCAAGTCCGGGTTCCAGCACCCACATCAGGCAGCTCACACCACCTGTAACTCGGGGGACCCAACCTCTTCTTCTGGCCTTTACAGGTGTACAGTAAACACACACATACACAAGCATGCACACACATGCATGAATGTGCACACATGTACATATAATAAATAATAATAAATAATTTTTAAAAAATAGCATGCTGAGTGTAGTGGTACACACCTTTAGTTCCAGCACTTGGGAGGCAAAGGCAGGTGGATTTCTGTGAGTTCAAGGCCAGCCTGATCTACACAGCAAGTTTCAGTCCAGCCAGAACTACATAGTAACACGGCCAAACAAACAAACAAACAAAAACAACAACAACAACAACAACAACAAAACCTTTCTTTCTAATGGGAGAGACAGGTGAGACCCAGCCCAGACTGGTTTGTGCAGGGGACATGCAGAACTGGGCTGAGCCGATGAACAGTGCAAGAGGAGGGTGTCTAGGCCAGGCGGCCAGGCCTGTACTACAGTCTTGAGTTCATCCTGCCAGACTGTGAGGTCCATGCAGGTCTGATTATTCACTTGCTGAGCACCTGGCACACACTGGGGTCATAATAATTGTTAGTTTGACCGAAGTTACCTGATAAAAAAAACAAACCAAACAACAACAACAAAAAAAAACAAAAAACAAATCCCACAAAACTCGGGGCCTCAGCATCAATAGGTTCCAGGGTCTAGTGGCCTCTGTGACTGTGAGACCAAGAAGACAGGTATTTCGAGGGACAGGAGAGGGTGCAGGACCACATCACTCCAGTACTTTGGGAGGTCCCTCTGACTCTGGTCCCGACCTCCCTCGTGGGTGGGTGGCTGCTGTTTCTTTGTAAATCGGGCCAGCAGGGGGCGCTCACCACACACAGATGAGCACTTTCCTCCTCATGGAGGAACAGAGCCTGGACCCATGACCAGCACAGAACCTGGTGCGGGCATCCGTGAATCCGGGAGACACCTGGTTGACTGGGGCCTGTGGCCGTAAGCAGCCCTGTAAGGGCCTCCTCCTCCTCCCTTACAGGGACCACATGCTCCTGCTTCTCCCACCCTCTATCTGGCTGTGTACCTCAGAACAGGCTGCCGCCTCTTTGGATTAGATTTTCCTCCCTGAGAATGCTTTTAATGGCACTAACCTTTAGTGGAGATGTCTACAGGCAAGCGGGTCTCAGGCATGGACCCGGTGTGGCTCCTGCCCTAGGCTGGAGCAACAGGAGCAGGGTGACAGACAGCAGGTCTCCAAATGCCACTTACTGTGAGAGGCTGCAGAGGCAGCCACGAGAGCCACTCAGGAGGCCTGGGTTCAAGGGCTGACTCTCTCCGCATATGAAGTAATTTCTTCAGCATTCAGAGCCTCAGACTACCCACCTGTAAAATGGGAATGACTAAGTATGTATGAAATGCTTAGGCCCGTGGGGCCAGCAAAGTGGCGTCACCGGTAAAAGCACTTGCCACTGAGCCTGAGGATCTGAGTTAGATCCCGGGGACCCACACTGTGGAAGGACAGAGCCAACTCCTGAAAGTTGTCCTCTGACCGCCGTATCTGTGCTGTGACACACATACGTGCATACATGTGCAAGTACACACACACACATGCGCACACACAGACACAGAAAGCTGAAGACAATGGTGTGCAGTTCCTTAGGGCTCTATTACATGCTGTTTATTGCAGTATCCTCACAAGGCACCCTGCCTAGATGCTGTCACAGGGAGACAAAGGGTCCCCAGGGGAGGGGAGACTCACCAAGGAAGGGAAGGAGGTCATCGGGAGGCTTCCTGAGAGAGGTGCCATGAAATACAAGCCCAGGAAAGGCCTGGGGTCCTCTAGCCAACCTGGCCTTTGAGAGACAGAATGAGGTAAGGTGTTTGGGGGAACTTCCCTGGGCCCCAGCACAAGCCCCTGTGGGCCGCCGAGAGGGCGCTGAGGTGGTGGTCAGGGTCAGGGCTGAGCTGCGGCGGCAGATGTTGCTAATCCCAGCTGCCTCCATGCCAGGCGGCTCCTAGCTGCAGGAAGCACTGAAGGGCTCCAGGGCCGCAGCTGTTGAATGCAGGCCAGCCCAGCACGAGGAGGCCTTGCCCGGCCCAGAATGCCTGGGGAGAGAGAGGAAACGGCCAGGGGACCACTGCCAGGAACCTGGGGGCTGGAAGTCTCTGCAGTGCCCAGATGTCAGGCTACAGGAGACGGGGGCCAGGCAGCCTGGAGCTGGAGGCAGGTAGGAGAGAACTGGAGAAGTTGATTTATTAGGGACGATGAAAGAAGCTAAATGTGTTTGCCGCTCAGCGATGACTCAGGCATTCCCCAGGGGTTCCAGAGAAAGAGCATCAAAGAACCAAAGGCAAGGCAAGCCGCCTCCTACCAGGGCAGTGCCAAGTCCCTCCCCCCAAAGCAACACAAAACAGCCACTCTGGCCCACAAGGCCCGGGCACCAGCTGACCTCACCCAGAATGGCTGAAGAAAAGACCCCTCAGAGAGAGACAGGTCCAGTCCTGGATTTTCTCCAAACGTCTATGTGATCTTAGTCCGGTGGCTGACCCTCTCTGTTCCCACATTCACCAGAAAGCACTCATCTGCAACGGACCGGGTCCCACCCCCTTTCTCTCGTCCCATTGGCTTCTCCCAGAGGCTGAGGGATTTTTCCTTTACCAGAAAAGCTCCCAACAGCTCTCCAGGAGAGAAGCCAGACTCCACAGAACCTGGGAAAGAGGGGGAAGTTTTCGGTGCCAAGCTGCAGGCCTGGCGCTGGGACCCAGGTTGAACTGTGTGCAGCTAGAGGTCACAGAGATGACGGGACAAGAAGGGAGCAGGGAGTGGGGGGGGGACATCCCCGCCTGCAGGAGTACTCTGGGAGGTGTGGGAACCCCCCAAACAGCAGCTAGACACATGTGAGAAGTGGGGATCAGTTTGGTGGACAGCAGGGACCTACCCTGGAACAACAGGATATGGAAAGCAATGGAGAGGCCCGTCTAGGGCATGCATGCGCAGCCTTAGACTGTGTCCAGAGCCCCTCTGAGGATACTCCATAAGGATGGATTAAGGAAGACATGGGGGAGGGTGGGGAGGAGGGGACTGGCAGGTACGTGAGGAGGATGGCAGCTGGGAGGCAGCAGCCTAAATGTCAGGGGGCCTCCAGTCTCCCCCACAGCCTGGTACAGGGCCAGGCTCAGGATGAACGGGTCACAGTCTGCGGAGGGGGCTGCAGGACCCCCTATTGGGACCGACATCTAGGCTAGACAGGAAACCCTCCCCTTCCTTTGCTATAGCCCCCCCCTCCCCCCGCCGCTTGTCCCTCCAACTAGTCCCCTCCTGATCCTGTCCGGTCTCCCTTTCTTGGCCACCCCGCCCTGGCCCAATGGCATATTGTAAGTAATTGCATACCTGGTCTCCAATCCCGGCTTCCCAATGGCCAACCGTGTGGCTCTGGGCCATGTCAACTCATCTGCTGCCACTGGGAGCCGGGGACTCCCAGCTGCAATCCTAGGACTGAGTGTACAGCTGACCTGCTGACTCAGGACAGCCCCAAGGAAGAAGTAGAGTTTCCATGGGTCTCAGAAGTCCCTGGGCCCTCCCAAGCCCACTGGCTTCTCTCAACTTAAAGGCTGAGGTGGAGTAGCCTTAACAACCCTGACACTAATGACCCTAGAAAGGTCCCTTGATTTTCACTTTCTTGAGAGAATTGTTTTGTGGTTCGGGTTGCTTGAAACAGAGTCTAGGCTGGTCTAGAACTCATGGGCAATCCTCCTGCCTCGGATTCCTGAATATTGAGATCACAGCTTTCTGAGACAGGGTCTCTCACTCTGTGACCCAGGCTAGCCTCAACTCACGGCGATCGCCCTCCTCAACCTCTGAAATTCTACCGTTCCCGGTAGAACCTCCTCACTCGGCCTCCCCTTCATTTCTAGAAGATCCAGTGTTCCTCCACATTAGGCACAGACAGCCCAGTCCACCTGACCTTGGCCAGCACTGATGCTGCAGCCCACGATACCAAACACATATCAGCCACCCCGCCAGGGCCTCTGCCAGTATGTCCTATTCCTCCTCCTGTGCATCCTCCAATGCAGGGACAGTTACCCTGTGCCATAGAGTGCCAGCCCAGCCTGTCCCAAAGACTCCATCCTTTCCCTTGCCCCAATAAAGTAGTCACAGCTCAGCTTCCGGTACAACAGCGTGGAGGTCTGGGACTTCCCTCAGGGAGGGTCAAGTGCTATGCAGCTGGTTCCAAGGTGCTCCAACCCATCTCTGATTTAACCCCAGCCCCATTCAAGGATGTCTTAGCCAGTAACAACAGCCTGTCTGCCTGCCTGCCTGCCTTCCTTCCTTCCTTCCTTCCTTCCTTCCTTCCTTCCTTCCTTCCTTCCTTCCTTCCTTCCAGAGGAAACAAAAGGTGACCATTGCTAAGGCACCAACACACAGGCCCCCTTGAGGAAGCCAAAGGAAGAAGATTCCTTCATCTTGTGAACATATCGCTTCCTCCCAGCAGCCCCCAGGGAGACAGGACCACTCCCATCCAATAGACGAGTGTCAGGAACAGATTGCTTATCACAGTGGTACCAGCAAAGTACGGGCTGGGAGGAAGCTGAAGGTCAGATCCACAACCTCCACAGCCTGCCCATCCTCCGAGGCTAAAGTCTATCCATCTCGTCTCCCGAAAGCAGTGGTTCTCAACCTTCCTAATGCAGCCCCTCATGTTGTGGTGACCCCCAACCATACAATTATTTTCATTGCTACTTCATAACTATGATTGTGCCGCTGTTATGAATCCTAATGTAAATATCTGTGTTTTCGATGGTCTTACGTGACCCTTGTGAAAGGGCTGTTCGACCCCCCAGAGGGTTCGTGACACCTCCATAGAGGCTGTCCCCTGAGGAAAGGCCCAGAAAGGACCCATTTCTGCTGCAAAGAAATTATTTTTCAAATAAAACATCCACCGTCCAAAAAAAAAAATTATAAGACATTCTCCATGTAGAAAATTGGACGCTGTAATAGAGAAGAAAATAAAAGTCAGGAGATTTCCTTTACTATACCTGATATTGCCAGCATTTCCCAACCTGTCCAGCACGCCACACATGCAATGAGTCAGGTCTCCGCTGTAGTACTGTGGATACAATTTGGTGGTCTGCATCTGCCTTCGTCCTGTGGATCCCCACATCCCACAGGACCAACCAGTCAGAGGAAGTGAGGGCATCCTGCAGTAGCAAGTCCCAATCCCTTACTGTTGTGGAGCAATTTCCTGCGAGATAAAATGTTCCATCCTGGAGGGAAGCTCCTTAAGACACAGACTATTCTAGAGAGAGACGAAAGGTTCCATCCTGCCAGGCAGCCCCCTGAAGTTCAGAAGCAAACCACTCAAAGGCTTCAGGGACTACTCAAAAGCTCCAGGAAGTCCCTGAAACTGACTGGATTCCCTAGGCCCCTCCTTTAGTATCTATTCGCAGTAAGACCTGCCCTCCAAGCTGAGCCACCTAAAAGAGGCGGAGACCAGATGAGTGACCTGGAAGAGGCTTAGACCAACTGAGCTACCTGAAAAGGATGCTCTCAAGCCCAACCAGCTGCCTGCAGGCTGTGCAGTGAGCTCCAGGTTTCCAGCTGTGTGAGCTGTCACCAGTGCTGGGGTGGGCTTTGGTGATGCAGCTGTCTTTGGGTCATTTCTGACCCTGTCAGTAACTCTTCACCCACACCCCTGTAAGTAACCCCAATAAATGCATTGGCCCACCAACTAGACTAGACTTTGGTGGCATTCATTCTTTGTCATTGGTTCCCTGTCTGGGATAAGTAGACCTTGGTCTACACCTTCCCGGGAAGAGTGTCGCACAACACTTGTAACAAAGGGCGTGCCTTGTGCTACCATGGAGGGAGTTGAATAAGGGTCCCCGTCGCAGGAACTCAGGGACCCAGCCTGACTAGGTGCCATCTTGGCACGGACCACCAGGAGCGCTGTCTGGGAAGGACGGTCATTTCCCCTCAGGTTTCAAAGTCATATGGTCACCTAGCTTCAAGAGAAGTGAAGTACCATGCTACTCCCTGCCCAGAGAGAGGACAGAGCAGAACATTTCTGCCTGCAGCATTAACAGCAGTTGCACCTCGGGTGGCCATGTGTCCCCATTTGCTCAGGGCTGAGGTGGTTCTGGGATCAGGATGCCTCATGCTCACCCTGGGGAAAGCCTTGGGCGGAACCGAAACCCGTCGTGCTGTGCCGGACATCCTTCACAAGCCGCCTTTTGACTGCATAGCAGCCACGCTGCATGACCCTGTAGCTCTCACGGCTGGAGGCTCAGGTCGCTTCCAGTTTTACACATTTCTAAACTCTGTGCCAGGCTGCGGAGATGGCTTGGCAGGTCAAGGTGCCCGCAGGAGAAAGGGAACTAAAGCAGACAGATGGGCATCGCTTACCCCCCTGAAGCCAGAGGGAGCCGTCCCAACCATATCATCCCAAGGTGAACAAATAGATGTGAGGTCCCCAGGGTGTCCGCTGAGTCTTGGTTGGAACTTACTGATGGGGTTTCCGGCGTGTGCCTAGGCCGTGTTGATGGTTCCGGGTCTGAGATCACACTTTCGAGCTCTACCGACCTAGCCATTCTGCGCCACCTGCTTGCCACCTGACAGCCGACGATGAGGTGACTCATCCCTTCTCAGTTTCTTCACCTGTGAGTTGGGGCCTGTACCCACATGGCAGGCTTTGAAGGGACGCCCAGGCTTGTGACGAGCTGCTGAAGACAGTGAGTGTTCTTCAGTGGTAGATTAAATAACTTCATGTTTTAAAATATTTGTTCGTTTGAATGGAATTGCATTTATTAAAATTTCCATGGCTTTCAGAGCTGAGTGGGAATGAATTATCTCTGTGCCGTGGCTAAGCACAAGTGTTTCCTCTCGTGTGTGAATCACCAGCTCCTGTCTCCTGCCCGTTATCTGCAGAGCCCCTGCCCTTCCCCACCTGCTCCATCCAGAGCAGACAACCCACCCCCACAGACTTCCTGTTTGCTGAGAAGATGTGCACAGCACAGGAAGCCAAATCCACTCACTCTGTTTCAGTGTTTTCTTTTTCCCTCAGTCAAGGTCAAGCTTAGTAGATGACTGGTCCAGAATGTGACAAACAGAAAGTGGGTTTGAAGGATGGGTGCTGTGGATTCTGTATGCTGTGAAGATATTGCTCTGATTGATTGATACATAAAATGCGGATTGGCCAGTAGCCAGGCAGGAAGTATAGTGTAGGTGGGATAAGGAGAGAGGAGAATGCTGGGAAGTGGAAGGCTGAATCAGGAGACGCTGCCAGCCACCGCCGCCGCCACCGCCATGAGAAACAAGATGTGAAGGCAGAACTGGGAAAAGGTACCGAGCCACGTGGCTAACCATAAATAAGAATTATGGGTTAATTTAAGTGTAAGATCTAGCTAGCAAGAAGCCTGAGCCACAG